AATTCGTCCATTTACCCCTATGGGCCTAATTAAAAATTCACAAGTCGGTCCTAAAATAACATTAATTGATAAAGGTAAACTTATTTAAAATACATTACAAAGTCAACGAGTAAGTGCAATTCCATTGCCCTCTCGACTAGAGATGAATCTTGAACTCGTGGTCGCTGTCATGGAAGATAGGTACCCCTTCAGAAATTTTGGGAGATCCGAGTCAAAGTTCCTGGATCGACGATATTATTTGATGCTTGTAATAAAGGAAAGAAATTCTATAAAATTATATTGTATGGAATGACATAAAATGCATTAGGTAGCCGAGCTGTGGGTGCAATCTGCTCGTTGCTATCCACGAGGGATACGAATACGTCGACCTCGTACTCGCTGCCCTGAAAAGAAGGTACCCTTCGAAAATTCCGGGGGGCCTGATTCAAAATTCGCGGGTCGATCCGGGAAGCGCTTTCTCGGGATTTACGGGTTTGAGGCCCGCGATCGCAGACACGCGTTACGGTTCTCATCGGCTTCGCTGCGCTCGACCTCGTCCCGGCGAAGGTGCGCGTGCACGAGCCTTAAGATGCGCCATGCGTATTTCTATACCGTTAGGCGTGCGAACCGATCGCTTATTTGCACCTTTTCTTTTTCCTCTCTTTCCTTTTTCCCTCCTCCTCTCCTCCGACGGCCGCCGCACGCTAACGATGTCAAAGGAAGGCCCCGCCGGGGCGTTTGGAATTTTCCTGGGAGGATCCGCGACCGATGCCGATTATTACCGTTACCGAGATCGATCTGGATCGAAAATCCAGCAAAACCTTCTCTCCTCGCTAAATTGAACGAATTATAGCCCCCATTAATGGACGGTTCCATTAAAGAGTGCTCCTAAAAAATATTGGAAACTCATATGCACGGGTACACCGGCGGAAATGAATGCCACCTCCGAGGAAATGACTCTGCAGAGGTACGGAAGGAGGACATTCGCGTCCAACAGGGTACATTGTAGGTAGGAAGTGAACCTCGGGATCATCAACGCAGAAGCAACCTTCTCGCTAAATTGAACGAATTATAGCCTCCATTAATGGACGATTCCAGTAATGAGTACCGGTTAAAAAAAAAATCGGATGCTCATGCTTTCTGTACTCTGGCGGACGTGATTCCCTTATATGAGAATGTAACGTCACAAGTGTATTAAGGAAATGCATTCCTATCCACCGATGTACATCGAAGTTAGGGAGTGAATCTCGAAATCATCACCCCAGACGCGGAAGAGGATCCTTGGCTCTGCAACAATGGGTCCTCTAAAAAGATTTGTCAATTTATGACAATTTTTGCCTGCTTTCCTGACTTTACTTTTATTACTGGCGGGCTTTCGGCGCTCCGTTTGTATCGTTACTTCAGAGTCCACCTGGGAAAATGACGGAATTTTGGAAAGGCCTAATTTGGTAATGTAATAAAAACGGTTGGAAATACGAGAGCGAGTTTTTCTACCAAAAATTGAGGATCAATGGTTTCGAGCTTTTGCTGGGCATTGGAGACAAACTTTGGTACCGTTTGTAGGGTTTTGTTGGAAGCCACGTTTTCGAGTTCTGGGTCCTGATCGGAACCACCGCGTTATCGACCTCCTGTGTCCTGGATGTCCCGATTAGCGAGCTGCCGCGGAATGGCGCTCTTTTTCTCGGGCTCTTTCCGATCCGAGGGTATTCAGGCTTCGGTGGGATTTTTTCCCCTCCCGGGAAGCCGAATGGCCGAAGGAGTAACAGGTTGCCAAGCGGAACGCGCTTAGCGATTCTCGTTGCAGGCCGTTGCCGGCGCCTCGGCGCTCCGATTCGAGATCCTCGACTGGAATATCGATGGCTTCGAGGATTATGCGATCGGGTTGCGCTATCGGCCCACTTGTTCCATCCCTTCCAGTACCAACAGCCTAATTGCACTCTTCAAACTAACCACCCCTCCTTGCCTATCGAACAATTCGTTAAAGCGAATCTGCCGAAAATTAATTTCTAAACTTCCCAAAGTCACATCTCATTTACGAATCTTCACGTTACTCTAATTTAAACGGGTACTACTCAAAATGTGGGCTACATACATTTCTTAGTTTTTTTTAGACTTTTTTTAAAGGCTTTTCGGATCACTCGAAATTCCAGGTACAAACCTCTTGAAGGTTGATGAATACCTATTTATGGTAATGAATAAAATACTTCCCCCTTATTTGGAGATATTTCAGGGAAGACGTGACTTTAGTCTCTGGCCATTTTGAGGCTGCACGAGGGAGGGAATTTCTACTCCTTAGCCTTCGTCATCCCTTGATAATGACCCGTCATCCGAGCGAACCGAAGCCAATTCTTGTGACTTCCTTCGGTGGTTACACAGTCATGCCTTCCGTGGAAAGTTACTCGAGACATTCCTTCTTAGAAAAGTCCCGTTGAATGTTAGCTCGAACCATCTTTCGAGTGTTCTGCTGCCACTGGGAGGAAATGCGAGCATTCCGGGATAATTAAGTTAAGACTCCGGTTGGATCGTGTTCAAGTGAACTTGAAGGATTGAATTTTAGCTCTTCGACTCATTTGGAGCTTCTGTGACCATTAGGTGTCGTGTTCGAGGGCGAATTTCGGGATGGCATGTTCCATGGTCATGGCACTTTGCAATGGCCACGGGGTCAGCGAGTCGATGGCGTTTGGAGTCGAGGACGTCTGCAAAAAAAGCGATACGTCTTTTCCGATGGATTAGTTTACGACGAAAGTGACTGGAACTACTGCCAATTTCCGGATCGCCGGTAAAGTCTGCCATTTTTTAATTAGGGCCCCCCAAAGTTCGCGCTTTCCGAGTCGGGAAAATAAAAGACTCGGAAAGTGAGGAAATTCGGAAGGTAATTTTCTTGGAATTTGTTGGACTTACATTGGTAATATTTACAGATTCTTTCACTGTATAAACGAAGGCTTGAAACCAGCCGGAGCTACTTCGATCAGCAATGCTCGACCGGCTAAAGCGATTCCCTTTCATTGTTACGATACCGGCGATGGATTATTCGATCCAAGTACTCTGTGTGTAATGTCCTTTCATCCTCCCCATAAAGTGAGTTCTTAATGGACCTCTAATGCGAGGCTTTCCCGGTACTGTCTAACAGTTCTTCGAAGATGCCAAAATTTTGCATAATGTTATAGCGTTTCGTTGCTTCAAATTTGGAGTAAAAATATTCGACTTGTGTAACAATGGTGTTTAAAGGTGCTCCGAATTCCAACGAAAAGTGAGGCTCTCTGGATAATGAAGAATTGTCGAAGGGGATCGACTCAACCGACTGGATATCAAAGTAGATTGAATGAGAACTGGTCGAAAGATCCCCCAAAGTTGCCGTATTGTTTGCCTCTGTCAAAAGACTCCCCAGAAAATTGGTGGAATAGGTAACATTTTTTACAGATAAGTAAAAGTAGACGTGAAACTCATTTCAAGTCTACAAGCTTCCAGTATGCTCAAAATTATATCTAAATTTTATTTACATTCATCATTTAGATTGTCAACCTTTGAACGTGACATTGAAGCGTTATTTCCCGAAAAAGAGTCACCAACCGAAGAAGAGGAAGAAGCTCCAAAACCTTTTGAGTTCGCATTTTCAATATTATAATTGCAGTCTTTACAAATCCAAATTTTCAATCCTGGTGTCATTGACTAAACATTTGTCTCGATTTCAGTGAGACAGAAAGTCCTTGTCCCTGTTTCCCAGTGCCAGCGCCTTCAAAAGAAGACATACATGAAGATCCCCTGGACGAGAAAAGTGCTACTGAAGAAGCAAATCAACTTTTGTGAGTCTAAACATCGTAATACGCAATTTTTATAGAAAATATTTTATATAGAAAAATTGTACAAAAATTATAGCCAGAAGATAGTATGTAGCAGTATGGACAAGTTCCAAGAAGCAGATGTGTGGAAGCTGTTGAAAACAATTTGCGTACCACGAAAAGATAGTTCGGATGCAGATTGTTGGACACCAGAAGAAGACGAAGAAGAAAAAGATACAAAATCAATCTGGTCGAACGATTGATTCTATTTGTAAGCCCAAAGACACTTGACACCACTTCCTGAGAAATGTATTCTAACACCCTCTCGTTCTTCTGTTTCTTCTTTTTCAGATATCACATAATTACTTATACAAGTTGATGGGGAAACGCGTTTCTCTTCGCAACTCAGACTCGGTATTTTTTATTACGTATTAATGAAAAATTGCATGTACCAATGTTCGTTACGACATTAACGTCCTTTGTAGTGTTTTTCATTGGAAGAAAGTGAGACATCCTTGGCCGCCTTCCTCGGGGAAGAAGTGGGATTAAAATCTAAAGGTGAGATTGTGTGAGCGAAAGTAGTCATGGTTACATTTATACAATTATTTATAAAACGTTAAAAAATGTAACTTCATTGGAAGCCTTACTTTTTAGCCGTTTGTATAAACGAATCTCTTTCGATACCCGTGATACTGCAATACGTTTAAAAATTAAGTCTCCCCTGCTCTGAAAGGTTACTGATTTCCGCTTCTCTCAAGCTTTGGCATCCCCACCAGCTGATGTGAAATTCATGAGGAAGCCTTGTGAAGCTAAAATCTGCAGGAAGGAGGAAGTGCAGCTTTGCGTCCCAAAGGGTCATCTGCAGTATCCGTTTAATATCAGGAGGAAAATAAAACGGAAACAAGAACCGCCATGTGGCCGCTGCGGAAAGAGCAAAAATCCTTTAAAGTCTCTCCCCTGGTACCCTCTAATATATCAAAGAAAATTGAACCGGCTCATAAATCCCGTAAAGAGACGCAAAGTATATAATCCGAATTTTTGAACGGGCCGTTTCGCTTTGATTTACAATCAATAAAAGCGGTCCATAATCTCCTCTGTACATATCTCAACGACCCTGTATACAGAACACACGTTATTACGCCACACATTCGTCTACTGTTCCCCCGTCAACAGAATTCAATTTTTCGCCCCGACATTCATTCGTTCGCGGGACGCTAACGTAGCAGCGAAGAGGTCCTTTAATCTGGTCAAGTTTCAACCGATTTTATAATCCCCAGGACACGATGGTAAGAGCAAGCATAATTGCTAAATTCCCCCCTAATGAAAACCCGTAAAATCAGGTATAGCAACCACGTATCGAAATTGAGTTGTACAAATCGCGACTCGCGACGTTCATCGCAACTCCATCTTCGTAATGAAACATCTCGGATTATTTTTCTCGGGGCGGTAATCCCCCGTAATTACTCTTATAAATCGGTTCAACGAGTGACGAAAATGTCGCTAGTAAATGCCAAATTCGCTTTTGCGTTCACATCTATCATGTCTGACATTTATTACATTGGTGAACCAATGGAATCTTTGAGGAAGCCTTTCCCAATGGAGTAGCGACCGTAATCACTGATTTACTTAATGCCAACCGACCATATAATTATTTGAGAGCCAATTGTTGATAGGTTCGTTGCACGCTTATTGACTCGAACGACTTGACTCGTTTTCTCTAGCGTGAGTGTCTATCGGTTCACGTGGGCCAAGGTGGGGTCCAGATTGGAAACGCTTGCTGGGAATTGTACTGTCTGGAGCATGGGATCCAACCCGATGGCCAAATGCCATCAGACAAGACCGTGGGTGGCGGAGACGACAGCTTCAACACGTTCTTCAGCGAAACCGGTGCCGGCAAACACGTTCCGAGGGCGGTCTTCATGGATTTGGAGCCAACGGTAGTCGGTCAGTTTCTGGTGCACACTTTCTAGTTCCGAACGTTTCTACGGCACGATTTCCTAACATAGCCCCATCCATACATTCAACCCCTGCCTTGGGATTTTTCCCGATTCTCCCCCAACTTGTCTGACAAACCGAACAAGAATTTTTAACCCTCTGCAACCCAAAATTTTCTCAAGCCAAGAACCGATGCCACCCGAAATTTCCGAATATTGACTTCTTTGATCTCTCTGATATTGACCCGATTTATTTCTAAATGTATAGTTTATAAACTAATTCCTTGGTCACAAAGGAGTGGTACTATTAATAAGACACTCAGTCTGTGCAAAATCATCAAGTAAGACTTAGAAGATACCAATGTTCGGGGGAGGGACTTTAAAATCACGTGGCGTTATAAAGGGTTAAATATGGCTATTGAGCATTGAAGGGAAATTGTGGGCTTAAGGTGGTATAAAAGTGGACTTTGAGGGATTAATCGTTGATAAAACGTCTCCCCAAACGGGGGGTACCGAGTCGTTTAACATTACACCACCTGAATGTGGAACATCTAAGGAGCGCCTTGACATCCATGAAATTTCATTTTTTACAAAAAAGTTACAGAAATTTTCATAAACAATTTAGAAAGTAAATGAAATTTCACGGATGTTAGGACCTTCCCCGGGGCCTCAATATTCACGTTGTAAAATTTGAAACGATTCGGAGAACTATGTTCGGAGAACTGCTTCGTAACGTTCATAATGCTTCATAAACAAGACTCCCCGGATTCCACTTTCATGTCACCTTAAACCGCGGTAAATTTGATGAGGAAGACTCGGCCGAGTAAAACGGGCACGTTTCCTGCAGACGAAGTGCGAACGGGAACGTACCGCCAGCTGTTCCACCCGGAACAGCTAATAACCGGGAAAGAGGACGCGGCGAACAACTACGCGAGAGGGCATTACACCGTGGGCAAGGAGATCCTGGACCTGGTGCTAGACCGGCTGCGGAAGCTGGCCGACCAATGCACGGGTCTTCAGGGGTTCCTGATCTTCCACGCCTTCGGGGGCGGCACCGGATCTGGCTTCACCTCTCTGCTGATGGAGCGTCTCTCGGTGGATTACGGCAAGAAGTCGAAGCTGGAATTCGCGATCTACCCGTCCCCGCAGATCTGCACGGCGATCGTGGAGCCGTACAACTCTCTGCTGACGACGCACACCACCCTGGAGCACTCGGACGCCGCCTTCATGGTCGACAACGAGGCCATCTACGACATCTGCCGAAGGAACCTGGACATCGAGAGGCCCACCTACACGAACCTGAACAGGCTGATCGGGCAGATAGTCTCCTCGATCACGGCCTCCCTGCGCTTCGACGGAGCCCTTAACGTCGACCTGACCGAGTTCCAGACGAACCTTGTGCCCTACCCCAGGATCCACTTCCCATTGGCCACGTACGCTCCGGTGATCTCCGCCGAAAAGGCCTACCACGAACAGCTGACCGTGGCCGAGCTGACCAACTCCTGCTTCGAGCCGGCCAATCAGATGGTCAAGTGCGATCCCAGACATGGGAAGTACATGGCGTGCTGTATGCTGTACAGAGGGGACGTCGTTCCGAAGGACGTCAACGCGTCCATCGCCACCATCAAGACCAAGCGCACGATACAGTTCGTCGATTGGTGCCCCACGGGGTTCAAGGTGCGGGTCCAAGAATGACTTTTGCAAGGACTTATCCGCTCTTCGCGGTCAAGGAATCGAAATAATGTTTTCCATTATTTTTTTTACCGCATCAGAGCGTGAGGTCCCCGCGTTGGTCCATTTACTTGATAACAAAACCCTTTTCGTAGGTCGGTATCAATTATCAGCCCCCTACGGTGGTTCCTGGGGGCGACCTTGCGAAGGTGCAACGAGCCATCTGCATGTTGGCCAACACGACGGCGATCGCGGAAGCCTGGGGCAGACTCAACCACAAGTTCGACGTCATGTACTCGAAACGTGCCTTCGTCCACTGGTACGTCGGCGAGGGAATGGAGGAAGGTGAGTTTTCGGAAGCGAGGGAGGACTTGGCTGCTCTGGAGAAGGACTACGAGGAGGTTGGCCTGGACTCCGTCGAGGGCGAGGGCGAAGGTGGCGAAGAGTACTAAGCCGTCCCCTCGGCATTGGAAGAAATGTCCTGACCTCTCTCTAGGTGTCGTCCAAACCTGACCGTGGATCGCCATCGTCCATGGGCCTTCCTCTATCCTGTTATGTAAATTCGCTGCCTCGGGAATCCATCCCAAAGGACGCCGCGTGTCGCGCCGTTGACATTGACTTTGACGAGCAAAGCCGCGCCTAAGTCGCCTTCTCCGTCTCGATCCCCGACGTTGTACCACGCTGCTAACTTTTAACCCGTTCCTTGAGTTAATAAAGTGTCGTTGACATTTCGAGGAGGTGTTTCTGTCCCCTCGCCAACGCGAGGCGTTTCTCCGTTTCGGTCTGATTTGCGACTCCTTGGCACTTCTTCTGACAGATGACGTCTTGGCCAATTGTCTTCAGGATATAACGTTACATTAGTAAGGGGATAGATGGTAAAAGACGCTGATTATTTCGCTCACAGTAATTTGTACCGACTATTTGGATGCTCTTTAGGGAAGGTCAGACCTCGTGGGGTATTACATTTTTTTTTTTGGTTTTTCTTAAAAATGCTAGGTACGGTGATGATACATCCTCCCGGAGGCTCGCTTAGGTAAATCGGGCTTCGCCACGTGCGGGATACGACGTTCGGGCAGCAACGAGGTAAAGAGGCCACGAATGTGGAATTCTGACCGAGGCAGTAACTTCGCTCCGACGATGCTTCGTTTTCGGAGCTCAAGACTTGAATTTTAAACGCGAGAGGGGAATTTTGAAGCCGTGAAAAGCGGGAATCCTCTTTTCGAATATGTCAGCCTCGCGTGTGTGCGTGGAGTAGCTTGGAATAAATTTTCGGAGAAGCTCCATCGACCTTTTTTCACCCCGCTCGGCTTTTTAGCCTTTGAAAGAGTCTCCAGGTGCTCGTCTAGGGAAATATGACTTTGAACAAAAGACTTTGCATGCCCCGCGGTTGGCACTGACTTTGACCCTGCGTCGTGCCGCTGGTCTTTAACCTGATCTTGAAGTTAATAACGTGTCGTTGACATTCCGATGAGGATGCCATCCGCGTCACCTGTCCAGTTATTTCGCGAAATGACCAACTTCGCGCGTGTGGGCTGCAGACTGGTTAGCCGGATTGGACACTTTGGAATTTAGAGCAGGCTCGAAGAGTACTTATGTCGGGGGTGTTAGAAAGTGCGACAATCGCGGGCCCTGAAAACGTTAACACGCGGAGAATCGGTCGATTTTAACTACCAATGACAAGGTCGCTCATATACGGAATCCCGAAGAGAAGCGTCACTTGCATAGCTGCAAGCTACATTTGTCAATACTCCCTTATGATATAATTAATTTGGGAACGCCTCTGTCAAATTTAACCGACCCGGGAATACCGATCGATGTTTGCTATCGACTGAACGGCAAACTTAGACCTGGTTTAATCATTTAACGAAATCGATGCACCAGGGCCCTGAGGGTCTGCGACGCAGGTGCACCGAAGTCGAGGGATTGGACGTTTCCTCGTTTTAGCGCGAATACGTTTCAGACCATATTGGCCGAGCCGGTGTCTAAGTGGGCAACGTCTGCTGGGAATTGTACCTCCTCGAGCAGGTCTCGCGATCCGAGGGAACTTTTCCCGGCGCAGAAACTATGAACCAGGAATTGGCTAACGGGGCGTTTTTCCACGGGGTAGGAAACGAGAGGATGATTCCTAGAGCAGTTCTTGTCGACTTGGGAACCCACCGTAATAGGCGAGTGTCTTCACCTTTACGGAGAAGAAATAACCGCCCGACACTGAATCTGAGTTACTGAAATTCACTCGGAGAAGAACGAGTACCTCCCAACACGTAGATGCGAGTTGCACGACTTAACGTGGAAAAATGTTTCAACTTCATTACAGTATTTATTCAACGTTTTCCATATACTCCATAATGCACCGCGTAGCTCATATTCTTAATGGATCTCTTAATTTCTATGCTCTCTGTAGAACTCTCTGTTAAATGAAATTTCGAGATTTTGTGTATAGGAAAATTTCACTCCCTGTCCTGTCGATATTTAAAAGCAATCCCATTACAATCAGACCGTGGCCCCATCGCTCTAAAGCCTCGAAATTAAAGCAGTACCAAGAAACGTTAAAGTATTTATTCAGTAAAAACATCGTTTAAAAATTCATTAGTAAGTCTATGTATACGTAATGATCGCTAAAAAGCGTACCGCAAAACCGCGCACCCTCTATATAAAAAATATCTTAAGAGGAAATAGTTCTTCAATATCGTAACAAATTACGGGGTTGGCCCGTTAATTTACTATTGTGTAAAACTAAGTACTAGCGGCCGAATCGTTGGCTCGTCATTTAATTTCCAGTTGTTTCTTTTCAACCACCTTACACGCGGCGTCGGACTGCCGCAGGACATTGAAAACCACAGTCATTCTCTTTGGTATACATTCATCGCTTCTACAAGCAACTATGTCGAAATTGATGCACAGCTTCGCCCGCTGTTCGCCCCTCGGTATTTTAACGTTTATAGAATCCTTTATATCTCCACTAAGGCTAGTCGCGCTCCAAGTATTTGAAGGTAAAATCAAGGACCATCTCTGAGGAGCTTCAGGATTCAGTTTCAAGTTATCTTTAAATGAGATATCGAATGCAAAGGAAAAGTCTCCACCCGACGTGCTAATTGCGGTGTCAAAATTGGAAGTATAATCTGTTGCGCCGCCAGTTTCTTCGGGCAAGGAAACGGACACCTGTACATTAATTGCATGTTCATTGATCGAGCAGACATATCTTTAAGACTGCAAACTATAGAATACTTAGAATAGAATTTATAACTCACAGTTGACACCTTTCCATCCTTGAGATTAATGGCTTTGATCGCGTGATTGTTCGTGTCGGCAACATAGAGAATCTCACCATTACGCGTGATAGCCAAACCGCTTGGTTCGTCGAACTGAATTTGAAAAACAGTTTTTTGTGTTAAAAGGTTCCTATGATTTAAAAGAAGAGACCTGAGAAGATAGCGAAAATTTACGGTATGCTCGTTCGTCGGTTTTCCACCTCCATACACGGTAGTACAGTTTCCTTCGGGGTCCACTTTCTTGATTTTGTGATTGTAAGTATCCGCTACATACAAAATCCCTTCTGTACGACTCCAAGCTACACCCAATGGATGCTGAAGTTTGGCCGCATACTGCTTCCCATCGACGTCTCCAAAATTATGTAAATTCTAAAATACATAGGAAACAGCTTCATCGTAGTACCTTTGTATTTCTTATTAAAAGGAATTTCCTAGCGGAAGAGACCACTGAAACAACATACGGATGGATTCTTATCGGCTCCACACACTGCAGAAACTTTTCCATCTTTCAGGTGGACACTCCTGACAGTGCTACTCTCACTATCAGCAAAATAAACAGTGTCAAAGTCTTGAGCAACAGCCAGACCCGATGGCTGTGCAAGACTTGCAGCATGAGGATAACAATTGTTGCGATTTTCTTCCCGGCCATTCCCAACAATAGCAACACAAGTACCAGCCTTGTATTCCCTGTAGTTTAAAAAAAAGTGATGTATGACTTTAAAGCCTACATATTAAAAATGAGCTCTAGTAATGGACAACTAAAACTAAAAACATCTTACTTATTTTTCCACCAGGTTGTGTCTTCTAAGAACAAAGCCCAAATCTGATGAGTTCCAGCAATTGCAATTAATAGAACAGGCACTGTGCGTTCACCCTGACTGTGTCGATAAATTGCAACGTCCCAAGGAGATGACAATTCTTGATCTTTTCCCAATTTTCCGCCTGTGTAATCCTGGCCTTGGCTGCCGATACCAGCCACAGTGCTAACACTTCTAGTGCTCAAATCTATCTGCAATACTTCTGTTATATTATTATGCACTCTTTCACCGAAATCATTGTAAATGCCCCGAGTAAATGCACAAACCTTTCTGATAGCGTGGTTCTCGCTATCTGCAACGAAAATCGATTGATCGATAGCACAAATGCCTTGTGGTGCGTTAAACCTGGCATTTTCAAAATTTCCATCTTTAAAGGCAGGTGCGTATCCACCAATCACGTGTTCAACCTTTCCATTGTTATCCATAATTAAAATTCTGTTGTTTCCAGTATCGGATACGATCACCTGTTCTGTATTTTTCATCTCGAAAGTGTGAATCTTTCCTGGGAATAGAAGAACGTCTTTTGACGCCGGCAATAAATGCTGTGCTGGTTTCAATGGTAGAGAGCGATTTGATATTTGGTCTAGAGACTTAAAATAGGACAAAGCAACTTTAACGTAAAGTAATAACTCTTCTTGGTGACCCTCTCCTACTAAAATGAACAGAGGCTGACCTTCTGGTCCTGAAATGTAAGCCAATTCTTAATTATTAACATGTAAAATGTATTATAATATAGACAAAGCTTAAAAACAATAAATTCTACCGAGTGCTTAGATAAATGCATAATTGTTGTGCATATATATCTACCCAATATAACAAGACTCGGCCAACAGGATATTCCAATATCTCTCCACATTGTCATCTTTGCATCGTTAACAACTGGATGTGCTATGTTGTACCTTTGAACTGCGGACAAGATTTTCGTCGAATCTCGCTCGTTCGAAAATTTAGCACTGTGCACGCCAACCTATGCAAAATTTAGATATTTTAAAATCGTAAAGAAAGACCAAAACCCATATTTAAATATTGTTATTTTTTTGAGATACTGACAACAACGAGTCCATCTTCAATTGTGAAATTTTTCTCAAGTACATCCAAATCTGGCAATATGTGCATGCAATTGATGCAGCAATAAGTAAAGAAATCCAGTACCACAACTTTGCCAGAAAGATGATCCCGCAGCGACAATCCTTCCGATACATTGAACCATTCTAATCCTGTTCAAGCAAACAAAAGACATGTTTAATTTCTCTCTTCTCATACTCATTAAAATGTACAAACTCTGCATTAAGTTGTAATATGTACCTTATAATACACATAAATATTGGGTAATACAAAATATATTTTAGAAGAGTTGAATTTAAATTTATTCATTCATTCCATCTTATGTTTAGACTATTCGAAGTTCTTATTAAATATAAAGATTAAATAAACTACTTAGCTTAGCAAAATAAAATTCTATATCAAACCGTCATGTAAACAATTTTTAAAATAATTCTTATTTATTGTTTGGATTAATATTTTTTGATGCTATTCGTTTTCTAAACCATTGACCCCGATATCTTTTACTATAGTAACTAAATGTGTAAATGAAAAAAGCAGCAGCGGTAAATACAAAGCTTCATTAAAATGATAGTACAAAATTCATAAATATTTATTTTCATCGTTATAAGATTATAAAAAATCAATAAGTATACAACATAAATGCTTTTAATCTTCTGTTGTTGGCAGTCCAAATTCCTCATGTAGACTAGTGACGGTAACACCATGCATTTTGGCTAATTCCCCTAGCACAAGTTGTGTGGCATCTTTGATAGCATTGTATTTGTGAAGGCATTCCATTGTTTCATATTTAGATGGCTCTGAGCTCAACCCTTGTTTTAATTTCTCAAGTTCTGCATCCAGATTCTTCTCATTTTCCAAAAGTTTCTGGTATTTCAGCTGTTCTACTTCCGTTAAAGGATCGCTACCTCTCCTTTTACTGTGCTCTTCCACCAGTGCTGTCTCAAAAAGCTCATCCTTCTCAGTTTCTACATGCGATTCCTTGGTAATATCAGTACCTTCCGATGACATAGTATCTATTCAACGATTTGTATCAAATCTGAATCGAATCGAAGAACTACTTCCTGTTCAAAACGATAACGGAAAGTGCAGGAATGATCATTTAATATTTTTATTGTAATACTAATTATCTATCTACACACAGATATCAACAACCAATTGTAACCTAAACTGTGACTCCAAAAAGTAATTCTGCTCAAATGATTCAATAAAAAAAGGCTCAATGACCGTAATTCTTAAAAACTGGGATAAAAACACTAAAAACTGTTCTCTTTTGTTATACAAAACAAATAATATAACACTAACGGTTTATTGTTTTAATACTCAATCGGTTTTAAAATAGCGTAAAAGATGTATTTTCCAGAGATACTTCAGAACTTCAACTTCATTAGCATTATTTATCAATACGTCGTGTACAGTAACCTAATTCCCAAAAATGGACTTAACCTAAAAGTACTTCACTAACGCTCCGTCATCTCATTTCTATACCGTGCATTGGAAAAGCAATTAAATGTTAGTGAGGAAATCAGCAACAAGGAACAAATGCACTGGAAAATGATTATTTAAAGAAGCTTATAACCTTTTTGAAAGTCGTTAACAGTAATTCCAATGTCAGCGTACTTCTTGATGTGTTCCAGGGCGAGTTCTTGTTTCAACTTGCCATTAGCAAGAACTTGAAGAAGTCGCCGATTCTCCATACAAACATGTGTCAATTCTTCTACAGTGGCTTGTACGCTCATTTTTTTATTTTCCTGGCCGCACATAACGATAGCACTTCTAGTCGCAAACTTCACGAAACGCCGTAATAAAATTCCCATCTAATTGTGAATAAGGCTTATTCTGTTTGTGGCAGTTTAAAAGCCAATTCTACGTAATCGTATATACGGGAACGTCATCAAACGACCATAAAAAAAACTAATTCATAAAAGGAATTAGAGAAGTGAGTGACATCTGACGAAATGATTTCGAAAAATATTACGAATAGGTTGAGTGAAAACTAGACATGTAATAAGTTAGGCATATAAATGTTACAAGTGTATACGTATGTGTGTCAGCCCCATTTATAAATATTGTGTTTACGTTAATTGTACAAATTCTGACCTCACTTTGGATCTATTCCAAAAAGGGTAATCGGTCTTAAGGTATTTTACTTACCAACCCTGTACAGAGCGCATCTAGTTCTCTAAATTGACACGAGATATCGCCATGGAAGTGCAGTCTCGTTATGCACTTTTTGAGCCAATCTTGCGAATATTTGAGACTGTAATTCATGAAATTATTATGGGCTCAGCCTCGTCCAATCCAGGAGCTGGATCGCGGCTAGGGGTCGCGAAATATAGGGGTAACTCATTCCTGGCAGAGATGAGTTGCAGATTGTGAGCAGAGATGAGTTGGGAGATTGCTTACGGGCAGCAGCTGTGAGTTACGCTGCCATTGAGGGATAACAGGTGACAAGTACGTTAGCCGCCGCTACCAACCACAAGGGGGCAGCACAGGACACGATCGCGCGACCCTGCCTGTGAGCAATCTCCCAACTCATCTATGTTCTGTGCTATCATTTCTACATAACATTAGTTGTCCACAATTGTTTAGAAATATTTATAGAAAGATGTTCCCCGCGTACGCACATTTGTCGGCATATGATAGGCACAAAAAACTCATCAATGATTATTTTCTTACAAGAGGCGGTTCGGCACTTACTTTAAAACGGGACACGTATGTAATCTTGAAAAGCTAATGTTTTTGGAGTGTCGAAATATAACATTGCTTATAACATTATAAGTATGTACTTGAATGTTATTGAACAAATTACACTTCCAGCATTTCAAATAATTTATATTTAAATTTAGAGATCTTATTTTTCTAAATTGAATGTGTCTCTCTTGATTTTATTAAGTTATAAATATATTGGGTGATAATAATGCCGTAAAGCTTGTATATATTGTATAATTACTCCAAAAATAAAAATAATATGTACATACTAAACATAAACAGTTCCTGACGTTTCGGCGTGTTTTGAGGTCACAAGACAAAACGGACCATGATGTGATTAGAGAAAATCACAGATTTTTGTGGGAGGATGACGATACTCCAAATTCATGGGAAACACGTCTTGCGAAGAAGTACTATGACAAGCTTTTCAAAGAGTATTGCATATGTGACTTAACATACTTTAAGCAAAATAAGGTAAAATTTCATACCGTAATAATTCAGTAATTCATTCAATAATTTCTTTTGTTTTGATGCAAATATATCATTAATTGTAAATAAAATCGTATGCAGGTTGCTCTCAGATGGAGGACAGAAAAAGAAGTCGTTGTTGGTAAAGGTCAGTTTGAATGTGGAAGCAAATATTGTACTTCAAAGGACAGTCTTCGAACATGGGAGGTTAATTTTGGTTACATTGAACATGGTGAAAAGAAAAATGCCTTAGTTAAATTAAGTAAGTGTTTTTTGAACAAGGTACTGGTAACGTTAGTGACTGGTTTTTCTGCAACTTATACCATTTTTCTTTTATGACAGGGTTGTGTTCCGATTGTTCACTTAAGTTAAATTATCGGTCTCAAAAAAGAGAAGTTAAACGAAAGAAGCTTTTAAAACGTTTGGGCAAAACACCTACAACTCAGGAAAAAAGGTCCCCACCACCTGCTACTGAAGAAATTACAGGAATCAAAGTAGAGGTTGATAGTCCCAGCAATTCTAATAACATTACCGAAGAAAACCTTCGAAATGAATCCCAAATCTGGAAAGAAAAACCATTGGACAGCATTGAAAGGTCAAGAGAGGAGGAATTTGAAGAGTACCTTGAAGAGTTATTTATGTAAATAATATTGTGTTCAAATCTACAATTGCATACCGAATAAGACTTCCAGATTATGTTAAATCGTGTTAGAATATATTAATTTATTCAAAATAAAACCAATTTCTATACAATGTGTACGTAACATTTTATACAACGCAATATAGAATAACTGCATTTACTCTCGTATCATGCATGTAAATCACCTGCAATCAATATGTTCATGCAAATATTTATCCTACCTCTTTTATATCCTATTATGTGGAATAAGTAACATTTTTATCCACGTTTTTGTATGTGATGTCACTTGATCCATACTCACATGTAACAAGTATGTACATACAGTCTGTTCATAATTGAAAGCTCTATTGAACCGAGGGATCGACGGAATCAACACGCATACTATAGCAAAGATCATGTAGCTAATATGTCCAAAATCTTATCTGTTATCTACTTTGATGCTCGCGTTTACTTTCTCCTTTGATTCCTCTTGAATGGTATTCAAATAGTTTCATGTAAAAAGACTAGCCTAGAGCACAATCTCACTTGAAATGCTGCTGAAATTTACAACGGCACCAAAAGCACTTTTTCTTAAGTATCCTAGAATCTTCAACGCGTTGCCGTCAGGGGCTGTAATTTGTTAAACCACTGGTGAATGTACGTTACGACTTGTTACATTATTCAGAAGTTAACGTACATGCTATAGTTGAAGTGAAAATCGGAAGTCATATTCTATCGTTAAGTTGTGCGAAAATTACAGATAGTTCCAAGTACATGCAAGACTAAATCAAGAATGAACCCTTTCAATAGCCGCATGTAAAGATAATAGCTACACTTTTCCTAGAAAACTTACAATCCGATTGTATTAAATAACGACAACTTTGATCCTTACTTTTACTTGGAAATTTTTAACTGCATTTTATACGTGTTTGCGTAGATATATAACGTACACATCTCGATTGACAAAGATGACGGCTTACATCATCCCAATCAAAAGGACGTACTTAAAATTAGAATTGTATTGCTGCCTGGCTATTTTCTTGTACTCAATCTATATTTCTGTTTGTCTCTTGCAGCCCTTGCTGAATAATGTGAAATAGCTGTGGAAACTTTAACGCAGTGTCCTCTGAAATTGACACTGACCGTAGACTGGAATAAACATGAAATTCAGGGCGGTTACTTTAACGCAAAATAATGTACAAATAACAACACCCCTGATTGTCATGTTCCTGTAATTCGATGCATACTCATTCACGCTGGTGAAGAAACGTCTTAGTATTTGACATAACCATAAAATAACACCATCTAGCACACCTTGCTCGTTTCATCAGTTTGAAATCATGTTCTTCTTGCACTGCGGGGATGTTAAGAACTACGAAAGTTACTTTGTCGACCGTAATTACAAAAATCGTATTACACATTAATTGCAACTAGCCTTTCTTGAACATGATTTCACGTGGCTTCCATGCTTCTGAGAATCACTGTCGTCGTCGCTGCAGTCTTCGTCGTGGGTGTGCGTCACATTTCGTGGCGTTTCCGGTCTTGCGTGTGGAATCTGCGTATTGGAATGATCTACCTCCAATGTGCCCTAATCAAAATAAACGGATTATTTAAAAGAAATTCCTTTGGTATGTTGTACATTTTTGTATCGCTTGATAAATAAAATTCCAGATTACCGTAACGGGGCGGCATTGAACGTCATCTTCCTCGGCAAGTTTGAAAGTTCGAGAGCGACTGATCATCGGCGTCTCCATGACGAATCTTTGTTCATGAGCCACGGTGCTTTCATGCGGCATCTTGGCAGGATATACGTGAGAATGTGTATTATCACAGAAAATGTGAGACTCGACGTTTTATGCAAAATAAAGTACTTACTAGCATAGCCGGTGCTCTGAACATGTATGAGAACGGATAGTAAATCAGGTTGAGGAAAGTAGCCGCATACAAATCGGCATACCTGACGACTTGACTGCTAAAGAATGTTTGCCGACTGCCACTGCGAAACAGGGATCCCATCATTCCATAAGCCAAGTCCATTTTGTGCGTAACATCCCTGATGGATGCCCTCAGTTTTGAGATATCAGGCTTTTCTTTCGTGCTGCTATCTAGATTTCTAAGAACAATCGGAAACGATCAATCTAAATCGTTAAGCTCATTATTCCGCGACTATATGCTCTGTAAAATTACATGAGCATTCGATACAGCATGCACAAATCGAGTAACGTGGGCCAAGGCTTACTTATACATTTCTCCTAGCATAACATCTAAATTTTGTAGCTCGGCAAACAGTTGGCACTTGTCGGTCCAAACGTGGAGTTCTTGGACCAGTTCGGGAACGATTAGAAATGTCCTCCAGCCCCGAATCTTCTTGCTTTTTAAAATATCACCAAATATATGATCACCGACGTATAAAACATCCTTGCCCTTGGCTCCTATCAGTTCGGTAAAGACATCGCAGGATCCTCCGGAATAGACTTCACCTAGATGAGTAAAAAAGAGAAAAGGCGTAAATATACTCTCGCCCTAGGACTCCCCAGTCATGGTACATATATTTACCCGTATGTAGGGGTCCTTTGTGTGTTCCTAATTTTAGAGCTCCTGTTCTGGTATCGACCTGCCTCAAGATCGTGCCTTCGCCGAAGAACAATGGTTTCGAGGCATCTACCACGATAGTATCGAAGTAGGTTTTCCAGTTTCGATGAGGCTCGTCGGGCTGAAAGAAATTTCCCCAATGCACTATCTGGTATTCGTAATGTTTCAATTTTTGGGGGGGAGAACGGAAACCGCACTCTTAATTTCTTTCCCCTCCCTTAGAAAGGATCCCGCGTAATGTTCAACCTACTCTGGCACCGTGTGGGAAGTCGAAGAGATACGTCATAATTTTGTCGGTGAATACGTAGTCGCTGTTGGTGAGTAAAAAGACCTTAGCGCCGCTTTCTCTTATCCTAGTGAGGAACATCGGCAATCTCTCGTCCTTCTTAACGTATTCATCCAGATTTTCGATCGTCTTGCTCTTCAAATCCCCCTGGATATGTATCCAATCTACGGCGTTTCTCACATCTTGGAAGATGCTGTTGAAGCTCATAGTGAGCTCTCCTTCTTTAACTCCGGTCTTTTCGCGAGTATACTGCGGCGAGTTTGTGAAGAAGTCGATTAAACAGGCTAACAGGTAAGTCTCCGGTAGATTGAACAGAGTATTGAGGACGTACACTCGGGACTCGTCCAATTGTAAGAATTTATTGGGATAAAGTTCATATATGTGGGAGCTGAAATATTTAAGAGAAGAAATTATTCCAGTGAGATCTAAAAATAATGCCTACGCAGGCGTGGGTAACAATTTTGTATCATAATAAATTTACAGAAAGGGAACGTACTGTTTTAAAAACTCAAATCCGTGCACGCAGACCAAAATGTTTCCGTAGGCATCGACTTTCAAAAGGTTCCCATAAAGAGTATCGAACCATAATCCTCTGACGGGGAAACTAGGATCGTACTCGAACGCTTTTATTTCATGAGGATATCCCAATGATACTAGACGGTCCTTCAGTAAATTAAAGCCAAGCTGTTCGTACTGCGGCGACTTGTACTCTGAGAAAAATAAATAAATACAATTAGTAGCGGGAAAAAAAAAAGAAAATAAAAGAAATTAAGTAATCAATGAAAACTCACCAGCTAATGTATAATCCATATCGAATCCATAGAATTTGATGTTCTCCAAATGCAGACTTCTGTTGACGAATATTCTGCAATCATTCAAATGGAACGATTAATTCCGATCGTTAAGATTGACAGGATGTAGCCGATATAATTACGAATGTGTTAGAATTTTATTTTAAATATTGACTGCTTCATATGTTTAACAAGTTTCATATGAGACCTGTTAACAGCTTGATGCCGGAAAATGGATCCTTTAGCAGACATTAGGGTAACATCGTCATCGAGCAAGGAGAAACGAGGAAACGTGGTTAGATCGGAGTCACTCATTTTTATAACGTGTATGTATTTCGTTTCTAATAAATCCTCAACGCGGCACTTCGAGATTCATTTCGGCGCATCGTTAACGAACTATTCCAAAAAAGTAACCGAATGTCTTGGTTGCTCGATGCTAACTGAACGGCAAAGAACTTGCCAAAGACAAAAATAATTTCTGGCAGTCAATTGACTGTAGACAAAGGTTTGAATAGCGGCATAACAGCGGAAGATGTTTCAGGGACTTTAAGCTCATGACAGGGTACAAGTGAGTAAGTAATGAACGGTAATAAGAGAAACCGAATAACGCGCCAGAGTTGATGCACTCGAAGAGGGAATGCTTCGTAAAATCGAGTAATCAGATTTTTGTGAAAAACATTGAACCGTATAATGTCAAGGGACACAGCCGATAAGATAGAGTCAGTCCGCGATTCGCAAGTGAGCATTGACTTAATGTCCACCCCTCTAAGAAAATGTAGAAAACTGTGAAACTAGGTAATCAATTTGGTTCAATACACAATCCGTCATCCGCTTTATCAGTACAGAAGTGGATCGCTAAAACTAGAATTATCGCATTTATTCGGTTCAATTTGCAAAGTTAAATGGTTGGTAAATACTTCGCCATTAATTTCTGTACGCTCATTTTAAATAGCAAATAATTTCCGTGCACAATTCTGCATAATTACTCCCAGATTCGTATAGATCACACCTGATTGTCTAGTGTCTTAAATTTCTCCTTTGTATCTAAATCTTCATCCCAACTTTCCCGTGGAGATCAACGCCAGGGATGAATTGTTGGATGCAAGTGCGAATTCTCGAGCAGTATAAATCACTTAAGCTGTGAATAAAACCGCTCATGTTACAGGAGATGAACACAGGAGAACGTAGTTAGTATGTTAACTATCTTTACCGTCCCATCTTTCCTCATATTCTGATTCATGTAATTGACCGACCTTGTCCTCTGCGTGATTCACGTTAAATGTGCAGGGGGGATGTCTCTATTATCAACAGTTATAATAAGAATGAATGGTACAAATGGAGCATAAAAGTAGGGCGGCAGAGCACAAAGCATTCTCAATGGTAAATCGGTCATTTTCATGTAACGTAATTGCTTATACACATTTGCCAGGCTATAAAAAAAAAAGGAAACTACATACGTCATTAAGCAAAACAAACTTATATATATATATTTTTTTTTCATTGCTGCTCATTGAAGTCCCCTCCATAAGCTCGATAGTAGATACGAAGAAATCCATTAAATATTTTGTCTACATTTTAGATTCTTAGGATAAATAATAGATGTATTAATGGTGAGATAGTCCAGTGAAAGGAGAGATTTGGATCTTCGTCTACCCTCGATTTTACGTGCTGGAAATCACGTAGGCAACCGTTCCCTCGGGAAGAGGCTCTCGACATCCTGAAAATGTGCGTCACATTCAATGAAACCGATTAGCATAATAAAGCCCACCGGAAACGTCTTCGGTTCACCGAGGCTCTTCCATGGGCGAATCGATGATATGGAATTGCAACACCAAAAAGATATTAACGTCAGCAAGATAATACCAACGACCAATGAAAACAAAGACTGGGTGCATTCGGTGATAACGTGCACCGTTAAAAAGAGACTGGAATAAATTCATGAAACACGTATCTGTAGCTTTCTTCAGATACGGTATACTAAACGTATATTTCACTCCTAGACGCGTTTGGTGCGGAACCACTCTATTCTTATAAGCTCCATTAAGACCCTCCCAATAAAATCTCACAAACTCGAATCCCATTCAGATATTTAAAAAAGTTGCATATTAATTTAAATCACCGCGTCAAATCTCTAGTTTTATCGTAACTTTCCGTACCGAAAATGTACGAAATTGGGAAACGATTTCAACAGTGTAGGAATTATCAGCTGTTCCACGTATCAAAAAATTCTACCTAATGGGGCAAAAATGTGCGATTTATTGGTTTTATGGATCCACTGGTCCGGGAATGAACCCGAGACATTTTTTTGGCATTTCGTATGTATATATTAAATATAAAAAAAAATTCCAAATGATGAAAAATCGCGATGACGGGACTTACTCGTGTGGGACGCTGCGTCGCGAATTAGCGAATTCGGCTGCTGGCAAGGCATCGTCGCTAATGTCCTTCAGCCACATTTTTACGAGTTCACCAGGAGGCATTCAAGTTCTCGCGTAAAAATAGCGGAATTGCAGGGACCCAACGACGAGCAGACCGATCGTTCACGGCTGATCGGGACAATATTGCAAAATTGTCTCCGGAATTGCGTCCGGCCCCTGCAAGAAATTAGGACGCGGTGCATTTACGTCGAGATCCGAACGTCTGCATAAGAGGCCGGGACGACAAAGAACCGCGAAAAAGTTTCAACGACGACCGGCAAAAAATAGGAGAGACCGGGGAAAAAAATCGCGCTCGCGAATCAACAGGTGGTCGAAAAAGGCCAATGAACGTATCGAGGCGAGTACGCGTCTTTCGGATGTGCGGAGAGTTCGACGCGATCGAGACTTCCGAGGCGTTGTTCCTCTCGCTCCGACTCGTCCCGACGCAGATAATGCCAAGAACTGGTACAGCAAGTTTAACTGGGAAGATGGAAGCGCAGAATGTGACCTCATGCCGAGGAATAATCAGGATATCAAAGAAAAACCAGTCGCGTTATGCAAGGCGAAGTCGAAACGAATGTCAATGGCGGATTTGAACCAATTTCCCGGCGTAATTGAATCGGCTTAATCGCGGATGCACTTTATGAACGCGTGCTATTGTCTCTCACCCCGTTCGCCAGAAAAAAAAAAAATAATAAAAACAAATAAATAAGAAAAACTGCGCCATCGAAGAAGCGACGCACATCGAAGTTGCGCACACTTGATAACTACACGTCTTTTAGCGTGACTTTTTAGCGCCATAACAAGTACATTTTAAACCAGATTCGAATAATCGGTAAGACTCTGGTTTCCCCGACTTATATTTTTAGCTGCTGTGACTTTTTCGGCGAACGCGGCACGTGGGGGAGTTAAACGTCGAAAGCAACGAAACGTCAAAATCAGACTATCCGCGCGTACTCTCAACGTAAAGAAAGGAAATTAAAATAAATAAATAAAACGTCAGAATTAAGCGATCAACTATCCGCTCATCTTCACGATATAAGAAAAAGAACGATACGTCAAAATCGGGTGATCAACTATGCACTCGGTGTGGCACATAAAAAAAAATAAAAAAAATAACCATGCATTCGCGCTCGTAACGTGAAAAAAGAAAGGAAGAACGAAACGTCAAAATCAAACGATTTACCAATTGCTCGCACTCGTAACGTCAACAAGATAAAAAAATAAAAATAAAAGAACGAAACGTCAAAATCAGGCGATCAACGGGCCGATCGCACTACCACTAAGAGCCCAGCCAATAGCGCGTCGCGGAACCACGTGACGACGAAACCCGTGACCCGGATCTGGCATTCGATTGGTCCGTTTCCTTCGACCTCCCGGCAGTCTCTGGAGGCAGGCCCAACCTCTCGGGTGTTCCCTTCCTCTCTCAGAGACCGAGGACCGGCCACGGGGAGAACTCGCGCGATCGATGGGCGCGCGCGGCTACGTTGCACCCAAGGTGCTTTCGGAGCAAAACCCGGCGTGAACCCGCTGCCGCCTGCAATGACCGACTGCAAGAGATCGTTCGATGACCAGAGAGCCCTCGGCTCGTTTCCGATCCCCACCGTGCCCCGAACCGGCCGATATAACGAAAGCTAATTCGCGGTAACCCTCGGCCTGGCGACGCCGCACTTTTACCGTCCCCCTCCACGGATGCGTACATTCGATGCAAAAATAATTCCCTCGTGGTGGAAATGGTGAGACCTCGTGTAAAGCGCTAACCGCATACCCCGTTAAATAAAGAAATTGTAATTAATCCATAAATCAGGTATTTTGATATACGATTTCATTCTTATCGTTCCCCTCTATCGATGCGAACATTGGATGCAAAAATAATTCCCTCGTGGTAGAAATGGCCAGACCTCGTGTAAAGCGCTAACCACATACCCCGTTAAATAAAGAATTTGTAAATAATTCATGAATCAGGTATTTCGATATACGGTTTCATTCTTACCGTTCCCCTCTATCGATGCGAACATTGGATGCAAAAATAATTCCCTCGTGGTAGAAATGGCCAGACCTCGTCTAAAGCGCCTAACACATATACTCTGTTAAAAGAATTGAAATAAATTCATAAAGCACGTATTTCGATATACGATTTCATTCGGATAAGGTGTACCGAATTCGTAGCGTACTGATAGATGCGTTCAACGCTACGTGTGTTTATAAGCCAATAAACTTGGTTAACGAATTTTTAAAAAAATTCATGGATAATTGTAAGTTCCCTCGGACGTTTACGAAGACTGCGTGTCGATTCAAATGATTATGCATAAGTTTTGTCATTTTAATATGGACTTGAGTATTTAAATAGTAGGGAATGTATGGATTTAATCCTTATCACTCCAACCGGGAGTAACGCTGCCAAACTTAAGCCACTCTGCAATATTCCTGGAGTGATAAGGGTTAATTTATATTTTCCCCCCCTTTTCGAGTTTCAATTTGTGTTGAGAGAAAGAAATCAATCGTCCCTGGGGTTTAAAAGTACGCGGAGGAAATGGCCGTAGTGGAAGAGCCGGGCTCATATCTTGGACCATTAGAGACAACAATGGACTCCAGGAGCAGGAGCGCAACTCCTCGGCCAAAGGAGCATCAAGGCCTTCCATTGTGATATATTTATACCGTTCGGTTCGACTTTGTTCCTGCAATTATTTGGAGCTTTCGGCAACCCAAGGACGATATTCCAGTGTGCTGAAGTTGCTCAGAAATGAAAAAACAAAGGGGAGTTTTAAGCACTCCGGACGAAAAGGCGTTCCAGGAGCCCGACGTGCGTGCGCTCACGCTCGCTTATATTTAGGATTCGTTCAAGAAGACCTTGCAGCCCGTTACAAAGGACTGGTGAAAGCGACCGTAATATACGGTACCAGGAATGTCCATTTTCATTAATTCCGGTCTACGTCCACAGGGGAGAAAAAAAAATAGAAATTAAAAATACAATGCTAGAGTGCCGACACTTTGTTTCATCGGCACGGAAAATGGGTTTAGTTCCGCAGTTAAATTCCTTTCTACGATAAATAATCCCGTGGCGTTCCATTTTAGAGGGCCAAGGCAACGGGTAGATTCTCCAGGAATGACAAAGCCTCCGCGTTGGCGGAAGTAACCCTGAGATATTGCCGATCGGAGGAATGCGGAGAATTTTTTCGCCCATCGGATCGATCTGCTCGCCGACACCCGGTACACATATTGCGGAGGATACGGATCGTTGCGGCACGCACGCGTATTACAAATTGCACCTACGACCTACGCTCCGATTAAATCGGAGCCAAGTAACCCGTTTAAGGCGATTTCACGGCGAATATCTCGGTAAAAACGCCCCTCGCGAAATCTAGGACCTTGCGCACCCAATGCCCGCCAATTTTAGCATCGTTTAAGGTACCTTGTGTAACACTAGGTGACAGACTTAATTGGCGCTAAGAATAATCCCTTCGAGACGGATACCCGATGTCGCAACTCGGAGGTCGCCGAAGGCCTCCTAGAATTTTCGAGGATTCCCGAGGCGAGATTTCGATCCCACTTGGAACCTCTAATTGCAGGCCTTAAGGTGTTACGAAAGTGTCATATATACCAAAGAGTTAGGATATTCATAAAACTTTTCTCCAAAGTGGGTGCACTAATTTGACACTTTAACACCTGATTATGGACCCAACCGAGGTCTTGAAACTCGCGGAATTTCAATTTTCGAAAAAAAGAAAAACTTTTTTTTTATCCCGGAGAAGAGCCAAAAAACCTAATTATCATTTTCGAATGATGAAATTTCGCAAAGTTCAAGACCTTCGTTAGGATCTTGATAATGATGTGTTAAAGTTTCAGATTATTCGGTGCATTAAATTTGGAGAAAAGTTTTATCATTATCTTGACGTCTTGATGTATTTAGAGTGACTCGTATCGCGTTAAGGAGGTACAAAAGTGTCCCCCGATAAAGTTCCCTATTTTCCTTCCGAGAGAGCGATGCGAGGGAAAAGTTCCATTCGCTCGGCAGAGTCGACGAGAATTTTCCAGAATTCGGAATTTGACTCGTACCGTGGAAAACTTTCCACTCAAAACACGCCCTTTCGAAATTTCCGATTCGGTCCCTCGAACGTCCCACAAGAAATTTCTCCCCGATAACCGGCCGAACGGGGCGATAAGGAAATTAAGCGGTACGCGATGTTTTTCTCACAATTTTTCCTTATCTTACGAAAAATAAAGACGCAGCGATTCCGCGCTCCGTGAAATTAATCGAGGGGAATATTTGTCGCGCCATCGGATGGACGTTTTCGAGCTATTTCGTGTTTCGCAAACCCGAACAGCTGTACCAAAGTGGCGAACGATTGGGCGAAACAAACACCGACGACGGCTGGCATTTCGTGAGAAACTGGTAAAACGAGGATCCCTTTAGCCAGGCTGATACAACAAGTACAGCTGTAATTACTGTTCGACCTCGTTTTAGGATATCGATGAATGCGCATCAATCGATCTTCTAAATTAAACCAAGCCAGCACCATTGGCGTTGCAGCTTTCTCGCAATTAAACCGATTAAATCTCCCGAACGTGTGAATCGACCTAACTTCATAATCACGTGTGTACTTATAATGTACGGGAATTACAATAATATTTCATTCGTCGTCCGTTATTTTTATACCCGATCTGGTAGCCTAATACCCCATATAAGCATTCTTATGATACATTTGAACGGCAAGAAATGCGTACCAAGAATAATCATTGTCTATACGCAGCAGTCTGCGTATTTCTTCATGAATTAAGATGACAAACAAGACGCTATGTACATGAGATTCAATTCATAGTATCAAGAGTTTAACGTACCTACACATATTAAAGCATGGTTTACGCCCAGGCATTTCTATCTGCCATGCTGACGTACATTTAAAAGCGATACATTTTGAAATTACGTTATCATTTCTACACGTTCGTCCACTCTTAAGACCAATTTTGTACACATCTTATCGCAGCTGATTACAAGTAATCATCCAGTCCCTGCGTGGTAATTAGGAAACTCTCGCTGGGGGGATAGATTCCACATTGAAAATTCTGCATTTCGATTGTGTTGCGGAAATCGTCGCCGTCGAGGTCTTACTTGAAGAGGTCCCTTGCAAAATCCTGTGTGACACGTCGTTACCGTCAATGAGTAGAAAGCAGACCTAAAATTGGGTCGTCCCCCTGCGAGCGTGCTCGTGGCAGAAAATAGAACGCGACACGGAAGTTTCCGTGGAACAAGAGCCTCTGAAATATCCTGGAGAACACTTCACCGACACGCGATTTAGCGCGAAATTTCTGCATCCCTCGCGTGCACATTCTCCAAAGCGAATTGCAGGACGACACCCTGACTGAAGACAGATCGTTACGGAACGAGAATAAAAAGAGACTGCAATTGCCCTCATGTGCACTAACTCATGAGATAAAGTCCCGATATACCCCTTTACCTGGAAATATTCGACTTTGTAGAACTAGTGTCGGCCATCGATCATCGCTTTTGGGACTCCCTCTTTCGGGGAACCCTTTTCAAGTTTCGTGCAATGTTACCACTAATGACGGAAAGCAAACCCTGGAAATTGGGTCGTCTCATCGCGAATATACTCATGGCAGAAAATAGAACTTGACGCGGTGGATTCCGTGTAACGAGTCCCTCTGAAATCCTGGAGAAATGTTGCGTCTAATTCCGCCTAGAAACCGCGACGTCTCTTGTTAAGCTACTTCGAATAAATAAATATATCGAATAAATAAATATAAAAAGGGTTAGAATTTACCTACGAGCCATTGATTACACATCGACGAGATGAAGAGAAAATTCCAGATGTTGGCTTTGATCTAGGCTTGAACATTTATGAAATAATACCGATATTCCAACAGCGTCCACTTATCACACTCTCGATTCGTGCTGGAGGTGATTGCGTAATTAAAAAGTCGGAGGTGTCGTTGATTCGTGGAACTTGATTTAAAAAGTGGAATAACTTCTCCTTAATATGACGAGTCGCGAAAATCCCGAAGAGATGACTGTATATTTAAATTTCCAAGAAATAAACATACTTTTTAATTTTTAATCGAATTCCCTGCCTCAATTATCTTTTCCCTTTCGGAGTAACCTTGCGCCCCGTTATTCCAGATGTTGAAACGACGTAAAAATTAAATTCTCCTCGATCGAGCGAGTAAAGTGAAGAGTTGTAAATCATCTGTTTATAAGATACGGTCACGTTTTCTCTGCAGTTAAATGCAACATTAACAGCGAGGCACTTAACAATGCTTAACGGCCTTCATAAGCCCGGAAAGAAGAGAAACATTTGGCATTAATTCGTTTTACATTCAGCTTCTCGATAATTACTACGATTACTTCGAGTTAATTTAAATCGCCATTGCATAATGGGCCAGAGTTCAACAAAACGCTTCAACTTAGTTCGCTCGTCGACGAACACGTGATGCAAAAGAGACAAGGTAACTCTTTCGACAATCACGATACACATCCAAAACACAGCAAAGTTCACCGACGAACCAAT